TTTGGATGTCGCACCAGGAGGTCACCAAATCAACTGCTTCCATTAGAAGTGATACTGTCCTTGATCTCATGGTCAATGTGGTCATCACCCGGTTTCTACAGTGTAAAGATACATTTTCACCTTGGTAATTCATATGAAAACTGGGAAGTGATATTTGGGGTCACATGGCTTATTTCTCAATGAACTTTGGAAGGACTGTTTTAGCACAGAGATACTTCTGTCTCTGTCAGTTATTCTAAAACTCCCATTTGGAGTTACCTAACCCGAAAGGGCAACCTTACTCTCACATTTATGTGAGGTAAGAAGCAGATCGGGCCAGGCAGGAGTGGCACACGGTTTTATTCCCAGCAGAGGTAGGAGGGTCTCTGGGAGTTGAAGGCCAGTCTGGTCTTCAGAGTGAATTCCTCCAGGACAGCTAGAATTACATAGAGAAACCCTGTCTCAAAAACCCAGGCGGGGTGGGAAAAAAAGCTAAGTCAGATCTGCTTTGACACTGCTTTCTGTTGTCACACAGTGCGACCTCTGAAGACTACTCCTGCACAGTCCGAGAATTCTGGTCCATCTTGGGATCCTGCCACTTTTGTCCCGGTCATAGAACAGGCTGCTGTCGTCTTAGACAGTGATATGTTAGGACGTACTTAAAGACATAGGGAGCCGAAAACCCCTGAATTTGCAGACTTTGTTAATTTCTATTATATGAATATTCCATCTATTGCTGAGTTTAGATTATTAACCAAGGTATGTCTTGACACCATAATCGGCTGTCCCGCCAGCGCCACACAGCTCTAGCAGATGGTGGTATTTATGATAATTGCCTCCTTTCTTCATAATCTTGCCGCTTAAAAATTCATCTTTAAAAACTTGAAGCTAACCCTCCCTTTTCTTTAGATGATTAGTATAATATTGAACTTTTTTTTGCTAATTCTTTATATAGGAATGGCATCGACAATGCTCAAAGTAACTATACTATGATAATTTTCATGGTGACCCAGGTCCCCAGAATGGAATTAGGCCACCATGCACTTGGGCATTTGGACTATTTCCAGCTCAGGGCTATTAAAAATAGTGATGAATATTCTGTTGAATCTACACTTCAGATTGGAGTCCCTGGTTAGTCTGGTAAGTATAGCTTCAACTTCAGTGGATGATACAAACTCCCAGGGGAGAGTTTACCAAATCATCTTCCCTCCCACCATCTGAAATTTTGCCCTGCTCCATCTTGTCAGTTATTGTCAGTGTATTTAATGTTAGCCTTTGCAGAAAATGCATACTGATGTTTCATTTGCTTTACAGTTTATTTTTTCTGATTGCTAATTAGCATATTGTCTATTGTTTTCGGTCATTTGAATTTCCCCTGCATTTCAACTGCCTGTTTCTCTGCCGCCTGGGCTTGTAGGGGGTATTTTCACATCCTCAGAGAGAAATCCTCTGCCAACTATAGGAATTGCCAGTAGCTCTGTTCTCCATGGCTTCTCTCTTCAAATGTTGTGCCCCGTTATGAGTATGGATTGTTTAAAGCTTTTGGTATTCTCCTCTAAAAATTTCTATTCTCAATAAAAATAGCGAAATTCAAAGTAGAAACTAGAAATTACTATTGGAATGTGAAGAAAAATCCTGCCTCATGCACCCTTCTAAGAGAAGCCAGGCTCCTAACTTAAAGACAATGTGCTCTTCGAAGAGTGTTTCTAGAGGTGACAGCTTCAACCTGTCCCTTTCAAGAGGCTCCACCTTCCAGGACCCAAAATTATTGCCGGTTCTTCGGATAGAGAAAAATACAAGCTCAGCTTAATCTCTGTTGGACCCTTCTGTACACACTCCCTTACTTGGCACCTGCAATGATCTTGTGTTTACGCGATACACATGCATTCAGATGTTTTCATAGCTATCAAGAACATTCTTCATAAAGTTATTTGTGACTCTTACGACACTATGTGTTTTAATAAGTTAACTTCCCCAAATCCTACATACTGCGGTATGCATAGTGGTACTTTGAATCAGTCTATCAGAGTAAGATAGCCCTAAGCAAACCAAGCATAGAGGATTACCTATCACTGCCCTCCTGGGAGTTAGCGTTCATTAGGCATCTGCAATTGGAAGGTATTTTACATGTGTCATGCCTAATACCCATTCTACCAGGCAGCTTCTATCAATCCAACTTCATGAAGTAAAGCAAGTGTAATGATCGAAGCATCAGCGTTTAGACCCCAGAACTGACATGAAATCCGGATGGATGTTACAACCTGTCTATAATCCCAATCCACTAGAGGCAGAGACAGGGAATCTCTTGTGGCCAGCACAAGCCAGCTAGCCTGACTAACCAAAACAGTGAATTCTAGGTCTCTGGGGAGACCATGACCTAATGTATAATATGGAAACTGATTAAGGAAGATACCTGCCATCAATGCCAGGCCTCCAACACACACATATGTGCACCTACACCAAACACACACACACACACACACACACACACACACACACACACATGCAAAACAACCGAAAAGTCCAATGTCACAAGTATAGCAAAATGTGGAGTTCAAATTCCAACCCGACTCTTTAAAGTACTGAAGTCTTTGTCCAGGTACAAGCGAAGCCTGGATTTGGGTTCTCTACCTCCTTGCCATAGTGATTCTTCAAATGGAACTCATTTCATAGAACTAACCAAGGAACCTGTGTTGATTTGAATAGATGTTTCCCATATTCCCAGGCATTTGGTCCCCAATAGATGGTGCTTTTTTGACAGGCTTATAAGGTGTGGCCTTGTCAGAGGAAACATGTCACTGGGGGCGACCTCCTGCCATCTCTGGTTTAGTCTCTCTGCCCCTTGCTTGCCTCTCAAGACAGACGCTCTGGGCTCCCACTGCAGTGCCTGCCGCCACATTTCCTGCTGTGATGGCGAAGGTCTCTCATCCCTCTGGAGCTGTGAACCAAAAATAAATTCTTTCTTCTCAAAGTTGGCCATGGTGTTTTATCCTAGCAATTGAAAAGTATCTAAGACAGAACCAAATAATATCTTCACAGATCTCTGCCCACCATATTTAGTCAGGCAAAAAATAAAGCCGAATTTTGTGTTCATTTTCTCCAAATACATTTGTAAGAAGAATATAGAGTTAAAACTTGAATAATGTACTTTAGGGTGGCAATTTAAAAGCAAGTATGACAGGTGGGGGGGGGGGATCAGGAACCATAAATGTCCATTTCCTGAGCTTGCTGTTAATCTAACTTGAAATGCGTAAATGTTTCCTGCTTCTACATCACAAAAGAATGACCACAACATCCCATTACTTACTGCTTTGACAACACACAATCCATCTAATCCAGCTCACCTGTTGGAAAGCAAGAGCTCCTCTGAGCCAGCCAAGGGATGATAAATGGGGGGCGAAGGACTCCTGACTGCAGCCCATTCATCAAGTCTCCCAGGAAGTCAGACCCAGGGGAGCCGATGTATTCCATGTGGCAGACAAGAGGAAACAAACCCCCAGAAGAGCTTGCCAGACCTCTTAAGCTTCAGACTACAGAATCACAATCCACTTTTCTTCCTCTTTGGCATGTTAGTACTAGAACCTCTCCTTGCCCACTCACCAAGTCTGTTCACGTGTTCTCGACTGTCGGCTTTCTCAACTGGAGAAAAGACAGCCCATGTTTCCCGAGGCCTGGGTCAGAGCTATCTAGTCAGCCATGTGTTTTCTCATTAAATAGCTACAACACCCGATGAGGTAAGCATTGGTGGCCCCTCTTAATGGACTGGCGTCTTTTGCTCGGGAACACGGTGTCAGGTGGCAACATTGAGCTGTAACCTCATGTTCTCAGTCAGGAAGCCTGACGGCTTGTGACCCTCCTCTGAAACTGTCTCTCCTCAGTTCTGTGAAGACTTCATGTGTACCAGCTTGGAAACAACCAATTTAGACTTCTAAGACGTTGAGCTATTAAAAAAGCCTGGTCAAATTATCTGCTTTCAAGGGCTCTTCATCTCTCCTGTCTCATTTTCTCCCTAGGCCAAGCCATTCTGTGGTCGCAGTACTGTGACTCAAGGAAGCACATCAAAACTCGGTAAAAGCCAGGCGCTGTTGTGCATACTATTAATCCTGGCACTCAGGAGGCTGAGGCAGATGGATCTCTGTGGTCTACATAACAACTTCTGGGACAAGCAGGGCTACATAAAGTGTCAGTCTGTATACCTGTCTGTCTGACTCTGTCTGTGTCTTTCCGCTTCTCTGTCCCTCACACACACACACACACACACACAATCTTGAGTCTATCTGGGGATGAAGCTTAATGTTAGAGCACCCACCCAGAATGTGCAAGACCCTAGGTTCACTCCCCAGTACTACAGGGAGGATAAAACATCAAACAAAGATAGAACCATTCAGTTTTATGTATCTGTAATGCCAAACCTCAAGAGGCTAATTCAAAAGGATCACTTGAGTCTAGTAACTTAAAACCAACCTGAGAACATGATGAGAGTTCCTCTCAACAAACAAATAAACCTTCCATCATGTAGAGTGACATTATGATAGGAAACAACACTAAGCCTGCTTAATTTAAACTAAATATTTACAGACTGCTGTCTTATGTATCATTTTATCTCTAAGTGCCGCTATGAGTCTGATATGTATTTACTGTAGTGTTATTTTGAAAACTCTGAGCTAATCCAGACTTTTGCTTCACAGTCAAGGAAAGTCAAGTCCAGCAAGGTTGAGTGATTTGTCCAGGCCATGAGCTGCTAAGTGGTTTTGCTGCCCTCTTCTAAAACATATGTTTGCCCTCGCCTCTACATCACCTTAATTGCCAGTCCAGGGCAAATACATAGTCCTGTGCCTAGGGTCTCCTGGGTTCTCCTCCTGCTGCCCTCCCTCCCATTGGAGGATCTTGGTGCTTCGTTCTCCCTTAGAAAATCTCCCCCACCTCCACCCCACCACGTGCCTCTCTTCACAGCTGTCTTAGTTAGGGTTTCTATTGAGAAAATGAAACACCACAGCCAAAAAGCAAGTTGGGGAGGAAAGGGTTTGACTTACACTTCCACATTGTAGTCTATCATCGAAGGAAACCAGGATAGGCATGCAAACAGGAAAATAACCTGGAGGCAGGAGTTGATACAGAGGCCATGGAAGGATGCTGCTTCCTAGCTTGCTTCACATTAATTGCTCAGCCTGCCCTCTTACAGAATCCAGGACCAATAGCCCAGGAGAGCCCCACCCGCAAAGGGCTAGGCTCTCTCCAATGAATCACTAAGAAAATGCTCTACAGACTGGTCCACAGCCCAATCTCATGAAGGAAATTTCTCAGTTGAGGTTTCCTCCTCTCGGATGACTCTAGCTTGTGTCAAGTTGACATAAATCTAGCTGAGCACAATGGATCCTTTGTCAACTTAACACACAAATATGTCACTGTTAAGCCACAACCTTTCTTTCTTGTTCAGCCCCAAGATCACACATTAATAAAGACATTACAATATAAAACATTTTACAAACTTAAAAAAATCCCACAGTCTTACCATTTCAAACATGCTATAAATTGTCTCTTTAAAAATATCAAGTCTCTTAAAATCCAAATTCTCTGTAAAGCCCCAAAATCTCTTCTTTAAAAGTTTAAAGTCTCTCAACTGTAGAATTCTGTAAAACAAAAAGGTAAATTAAGTACTTTTGTTAGTTCAAGAGGGAAGAACCAGGACACAGTCATAATCTGAACAAAGCAAAACCACACTCCAAAAGTATAAATAACTCAATGTCCAGTACCTGGGATTTACTCACAGTCTTCTGGGCTCCTCCAAGGGGCTTGGGTCACTTCTCCAGCTCCATCCCCTGCAGCATGCACAACTTGTCTTCCAGACTCAGGCTGGCTCCACTGCACTGCTGCTGCTGCTGCTGCTGCTGCTGTTCTTGGTGGCCCTCCCATTGTACCAGCATCTCCAAAGCACTGGGGTCGTTTGTGGCAACTGGGCTGCCTTTTTACAAAGAGCCTCTCATTGGCTCTTTTCGTGGTGCCAAGCCTCAACTTCTTTGCATGACGCCTTCAGTCCTGAGCCTTTGATTGCTACTGAAGCTGCATTTTTACCAATGACCTTTCCTGGCCTCTCACAGTGTCAAGCTCAGCTCTCCATGACCCCTTCAGGCCTTCAAAACCAGTACCACCCGGTAACTCTTACACCTTGAGCTACCAGATCAAGGTACAACTTTGGTCACCTCTGAACACAGCTTCTGTGTAATGACTCTGCTCAGGAAACACTCGCCAGATTTCACCTCAGCATTGCGGGTCTCTTCTTTATCACCTCTTATTTCTCAACTCCAGCCCACCAATATGGAGTGTTCCAGCAAAGCCAAGGTTTCACTTCAGTAGTTCTGGTATCTTGTTCGTCACAGCTGATTCTTCAACCCTGGCAAATCGGAATCACAGAATTTTTTTTATTCAAAATAACAAATGGTCTTCATAGTCTTTAAATTTCCCTCTGAAACTTTACAAGCCAAGCTTCTATCTTCTGCTTTGCCTTCAATGTCCTTATCTTCCAAGTTCCCACAGAACAGCTCACCAGGCACTGAACACTCAAGTTTTCTTGCACAGAATTCCAAAGTCCTTCCACAAGCATCCCCAAAACAACACGGTCAGTTCTGTCACAACAACACCCCACTTCTGGTACTAACTTGTCTTAGTTAGGGTTTCTTTTGCCATGGTGAAACCATGACTAAAAAGCAAGTTATAGAGAAAAGGGAATATTTTGCTTACACTTCCACACTGTAGTACTTCCTTGAAGGACAGGCACTTCCTGTCCTAGGAAGCCATGATAGGAACTCAAGCGGAGCAGGAGCTGATGCTGAAGCCATGGAGGGACACTGCTTACTGGCTTGTTCCTGCTGCTTTCTTATAGGACCCAGAATCACCAGCTCAGGGACAGCGCCACCTACAATGGGCTTGCCACCTTGTCAATCACTAATTAAGAAAATGCACTACAGTCTGGCCCTCAGTTCGATCTTAGGGAGACCTTTTCTCAACTGAGGTTTCTCTCCTTTCAGATGACTTAGTCTGTGTCAAGGTGACATAAATCTAGCCAGCACACCAGCCATCTCAGAGAAAAGATGTTCAGGACACACCCAGCTAAGAATGGCCAGGAGAGCTGCTAGCTGTGCTACAAGCAAAGGTTTCCCAGTATTTGATCCAGTCATGTCTTTGGTTGTTGTTTTGTTTGGGGGTTTGGGTTTTTTTTTTCCTCTTGGAAATTATGGAGAACTCCCAGAGAGCTCAAAGCCAAACAAAAATAGTGAGAACAGCATTGTTCTCTGTGTTTGCAAACCTCTGTGGTATTTGGCATAATAGAAAACAGCTGGATTCTCAGGTCTGGTTCTGCAGCCTGTCCCTTTCCATCACATGTTATGCAGACTCTGGAAAAGTCCCCGCACGTTCATAGGAGACTGACTGAGAAAGCCTTGCTCTGAGAATAGTTCTGACTTCACAGACCCACTGAATGAATTCCCACGGCCTCCCCCTACAGGGTGTTCCATGATCATACACTGAAAACTGCTGGTACATGAAAGAATGTGCACTCAAAAGATCTCAAATCCGGGTGGTCACTTACTAGGCATGTGACCTGGGCATTAATGTGTGCATAAGAGAGAGCCTGGTACAGGCAGGCAGGCTCCCCAACCCTTCTTTTGAGAGAGTTTCATGGCCTCAAAATCGCTATGTAGACCACCATGGTCTTGAAATCTTAGTCCTCCTACATCTGCCTCTGAGGCAGTGGATTACAAGCATGTGCCAGCACGCCTGGATTCATATGGAGCTGGGGTTTGAACCCAGGACATTGCCATAGTAGACAAGCACTCTGCCAACTTAGTTTCATCTCCAGTCCCAAAAGGCTTTTTTATAGCTTCTCCAAAATGCACTTATGGAAAGGGCGTGGGGGTAACTTTAAGGATGGTGCCTGGATACAGAGTCCAGTGATGGAGTTTCCGGAAGACTGGGAAGTGAAAACTGAAAGCAAATTGTGCAAACATTTATACCCCTTGGGCGCTCCCTACCTAGGGTCCCTCGGTTCACAGCATGCTCATGGCTACCTTGTGGAAAATTCCAGCTACGGAAGCATGAATCCTATTTGTGCCCCTTCTTTGGCAGCGTGTTTTATCTGGATCTTTCAGCCCCCACTGACTCATTTAAACCATCTCTGACCCCCAACATCAAATAGGAGGTTCCCCCGAAAAACGTTGCCCTAAAGACAAAGGTCTCTGGGTTGGATGTCCCATTCCGACCTGCTGTTGAGGCTCTCTTTCTCCAACTCTTTGGGGAGACTGGCAGGGGCTCTCACCCTCCTAGCCACCCTTCATGCTGTAGGCATGGACGGGATCCGGGACTCATCCTGATCTATTTCCAAGCTAGATAATGAGCTGGAGATCTTAATTAGAGTTAGTTCTTGGGGAATTGTTGCTGTGGATGTTATAAATAATGGAGTGTGGTCTGCACTGAGGATTGTGAAAATTAGCTTGGCTATCTGGGACAGTCTGCTTCTCAGCCATCTTTTAGAGCTACCTAAGACCAATAACAAGCTCCCACACTACATTCCTGCTACCACCACAGCCAGGACTCCAGGAACTTCGGGTGGTATTTTGAACTGACTGATACAGCCCAACTCCCGTTTAAAATACACCCTGAGAAAGGACATCAGGTACACAGCAGCCCTGACTCTCAAGCACTCTGAAATTCAATTTGAGCCCAGTTGGAGATACATGACTGAAATGTTTGGGAAGAGGGGAAAAAGCTGTTGATGACAAGAAACACAAGTGCTGTTCATTATCTGCCTCGCTCCGCGGGGCAGGAGCCGGGTGGGATTCAGGCTGGTGGCACCAAGAAGCAAGGAAGGCACACTGTCAGGCTACCAGGCAGGGACTATGAAGGGCACTCAGCTCACCCAAAGGGGGCAGCACCTACAGCTACTGGTTAAAGACCGAGTGAAGCTTCTGGTTTTTCAAGAGAACCCAGAAATTTAGATTTATTTTTAAATGTGAAAACTCCCTGTATTTAAATGCTTCCACTTTCAAAGATTTTACACACACACACACACACACACACACACAAGCTTTTTTAATTCTCAACTGCATTTAAAATATCTATCTTTGCATCCACGGGTGCCCATAGCTCTCACCCTTCATTGAAGAAGCTTCTTTTTGAAATAGACAGAGACCATCACAGTAATCCACAATTGGTCAAAATGCAGAGAACAGCGAGCTATGGGGTGCCCACCTCATGTTGATATATCTATATAAGAGTCCCTACACTGAAGGCTTAGGGAACATTGTGAAAGAAGAAGCAGAAAAGTCAGAGGATGCGGATGTGTGCTTTGAGACAGTGTTTTCCATATATGATGGGGAGCTGCCCCCATAAAATCTCAACAGTACATTTGCTCAAACAGGACCTACACAATGATACCAGCTGACATCTCAGCATGAATAGGGAAATCTCACAAGACCCTACCCCTGTCTCTCTTTCTCTTTCATTTCACCACCATATACTTCCTCATCATATTGATACCCAATCAACCAGCATCTTGTGCCTCCTGGCAGGCATGTGGATGCTTCAGGCAGCCTGAACTATGAGGAGTGGGGACTGTGGTGGTGAGGGGTGTCTTTTTCTGGCTTGTCACCCAAGGCACCAGGTAGGTCTGTCAATTAATGGCTTGTAAAAGAGAAAAAAAAATCAGTCTTCTCCAGAACAAGCTATCCGGTTTCAAGAGGTTAACCACTAAGCACGTATTTGTATGAACAATGGACTTGGCACATTGTGTACAAACAGAGACTGCATGTTCCTTTCCCGGCCACCCAGACCTGAATAATCACACATAAACTATATTAATAACATCACTGTTTGGCCAATAGCTTAGGGCCAATAGCTTAGGTGTATTACTAGCTAGATCTTACATCTTAAATTAACCCATTTCTATTAATCTGTGTCTCACCACGAGGATATGGCCTACTGGTAAGGTTCCTGACATCTGTCTCCTTTGGCAGCTAAATGACATCTCTCTGACTCTGCCTTCTTTCTCCCTGCATTCAGTTTAGTTTTCCTGCCTATTGCCTAGCTCTCTTCTGCCCTGCCATAGGCCAAAGCAGCTTCTTTGTTAACCAGTGGTAATAAAACATATTCACAGCATACAGAGGGGAATTCCACGTCAACATTGTATTTATTATATATACACGTGTGTGCATATATGTGTGGATGAAAATAATAGTTAAAAAAGAGGTCATGAAACTAAGAGGGAATTGGAGGGACACAGAAGAAGTTAGGAGGAGGGGGAAGGGAGGGTAGAAATGATGTAAATACAGTACTTCTGTAGAAATTCTCAAAACAAAATGGTATGTACAGGGAGCTAATGAAGCCCTGAGCAAATAACATGGGCACAGTGGTATCAGTGACTGCAGGGTGGCAAAGCTTCCCATAGCTTCCTCCCCACCTCCACGACCCCATGCTCACTGTTCCCCTACAGAGGCTGCTCCTACCAAGATTAGCTAAACTTGCCCCTTTGTTCAACCGTATATGGTAACCCTGCCTCTTTAGCTATATGTAATAACCCCACCTCCTTGTTCGGCTGTATGCAATTACCTTGCCTCCCTGCATTTAATAAATATGCTGAGTTCCCAGGGTGCTACATTTCTCCATCCAAGAGCCTAGACCACCTGATCCCAGTTTTTCTGTGTCTATGAGTCTGTCTTTCTTCATTTCTTTCTTTCTAGTTACATATATATTCCAGGAACCAATGCTTGGTGAGGCAGGCACAAGGTTTTATGAAAAGTTAAAACAACGCTTGAATTACAAAGTGCCATTCTGTTCCCTCCGTGTGAGTCCTTAGAGCCATGCTGTGCATCCATCCTGTTCATGTTTCCAAACTGTCATTACCGAGTGTGCATCCAAACACAGCCCACATTCTGTGTTGTAGGCTGTGATGCTATAGAAGTAGCATGCTGCTGTTACTTTATGCTTTGTTTCTTGTTTAAAATTAAAATTTTTAAAAGACATGCTATTATGTAGTAACCTAATTCATACTATTTTTTTGGTTTAGTTTTTGGGGTTAATTTTGGTTTTTGAGATAGGGTTTCTCTGTATAGCCTTGACTATCTTGAACTCACTCTGGAGATCAGTCTGGCCTCAAACTCAGAGATCCACCTGCCTCTGTCTCCCAAATGCTGGGATTAGAGGCATGCACGGCCACCACCTGGCACATACATTTTAATTATATGATATTCTGTCACTTAAATGTACCAAATGTACAAAATTTAATTTACCTATTCTTCCTTTGATAAAAAATTGAAGGTTTTTTTTTCTAATTTCAAGGTGCTCCATATCTTCAACAATAAAAATCCCTCCATCAGGATAAGGCAGTGCATATGTGTAATC